GGGACACAGACGGCAGGCAGGCAGGCAGGGGTCAGGAGCCCCGTCTGACTGACTTGCCCTGGGCTCTCCCACCCCAGGCAACCTCACTCGCAAGCTCCCTCGGAAGACAGCAGTGCGTGTGGGTGACACCGGCAGGCAGGCAGGCAGGGGTCAGGAGCCCCGTCTGACTGACTTGCCCTGGGCTCTCCCACCCCAGGCAACCTCACTCGCAAGCTCCCTCGGAAGACAGCAGTGCGTGTGGGTGACACGGCCATCTTTTATGTGGAGCTGGCTGTCCCGCAGGGCCCCGTCCGCTGGCTGCGGAATCAGGAGGAGATGGTGGCCGGGGGCCGCGTGGCCATCACCGCGGATGGCACTTGCCACACGCTGACCATCTCCAAGTGCAGTCTGGAGGATGTGGGCGAGGTCGTCTTCCTGGCTGGCGACTGTAGGACGTCCACCCAGTTCTGTGTGTCTGGTAAGGGGCTGGGGAGTAGTCTGAATAGTGTCCCTTCTCTTGCCTCAGTGCGCTGGGTGTGGCTGGCGGCAGCGCCTGGCTCTCAGTCAGTGTGGTGGGCCCTAAGGCCAGGGCTTTCCTTCCACTGCAGCTAGAGAAGCGGCAGCAGGTCTGGGGTTGGGGGTAGAGAGCCTATGGCCTCTCTGATGGCCAGTGGTGTAAGCCACCAGAGCAGTGTGTCCCAGGAGGGCTAGAGGTTTTGATTCTCCTCCTGGGTGATTTCAGACCCAGTGCTTGGGGAAGGGGATCCTAGTCGGTGACCTGGACCCATCTTCTACCCAGCCCCCAGGAAGCCGCCCCTGTACCCGCCTGTGGATCCTGTGGTGAAAACCAGGACCGAGAGTACTGTGACCCTTGGCTGGTCCCCACCACTCCAAGGGGACCGTCCTGTCACCATCGATGGCTACTTGGTGGAGAAGAGGCGGCTTGGTGCCTATGCCTGGAGCAGATGCCACGAGGCTGAGTGGGTAGCCACGACAGAGCTGACTGTAGGGGGCGTGGCTGAGGAGGGAGACTTCCAGTTCCGGGTGTCAGCTGTCAACAGCTTTGGCCAGAGTCCCTACCTTGAGTTCTCAGGGACTTTGCATCTGGGTAAGTAGGGCCTACTGGTCACACACGGGGCCACCCACCTACCCCTGAATCACCTAGGCCAGAAGGTGTAGTCTTGCCTTCTTTACAGGGGTGGAGGGCTGCCAGGGTTCTGCCACTGTTTTCATTCTCTTGGCGGGAAGGAAAGGGGACCATGAGACAGGACTCAGATCTCCCATGAGCCTTCCTAGGAGTCTCTAGGAGTCTCAGGGGACCAGGCTTCAGAGATGCCCCATTTTGGCGGGTTTGTTGGCTTCTGGAGGGGATCTTGGGGTCACTGTAACTTGTCCCTGCTCTATTGTGAGCCTGACCTCTGCTTGTAGTTTCTGCATACGTGACAACAGGGCTTCCTGAGGAGAGAATATTTAGGTCCAGGCTCTGGAGAAAGAGGAAGAGATCCTCTTCTCCCTAGTCCTGCCTCCTTCCCTAGCTCTGGTTCTGTCCCACAGCTCCTCAGCTGGCTGTGAGGACGCCCCTGAAGGCGGTGGAGGCAGTGGAGGGTGGTGAGGTCACCTTTTCTGTGGACCTCACGGTGGCCTCAGCGGGCGAGTGGTTCCTGGATGGACAGCTCCTGAAGGCCAGCAGTGTGTATGTGATCCGCTGCGACCGCACCCGGCACACGCTCACTATCCGCGAGGTGCCTGCCAGCCTGCATGGGGCGCAGCTCAAGTTCGTGGCTGATGGCATTGAGAGCAGCATTCGAATGGAGGTTCGCGGTACGTAGACCCCAGCTTGCAACCCTGAACGCTGTTTCCTTTGGGGTGGGGGCCAGGGAGAGGGTTGTGGGAGAGCTAGGGTGCCCCATCAGCCTGCAGGTCACTGGGATGAGGGAGGCAGGGCAGTGGAGCAGCCCAAGGCAGTCTACCCCAGGCAGGCTGGTGGTGTCAGTCACCTGTGTGTGGAGGGACTCATGCCATGAGCCACCCAATGACCAGACCCTTATCTCTTCTTCTTCCTTTTTCTCCCTCCCCATCTGTCTCCGTCTTCCTCTCCCACTCCCTTTTTCTCCCATCTCTCGTTTTTTCCTGCCTCTTTCTGTCTGTCTCTCCCACCATATACCTGGCTTTCTTCCTGTCTCTGCTCCTTCTCTGATGTGGTTGTATCATTTGTTTTTGTTCCCCTTTCCTCTTTTTGCTCCTTCTCTTCATCTATCCTCTGCTTCTTCTCTATCCTTTCATCTTTCATCTGCTCTACTCTCCTGCCTCTGACTGTCCATTGCTGTTCCATCTTCTTCCTGGGGATTTCACCCATCCCCCCTTTCACCGTCCACCCTGTGTCTCTGTTTCTGTCCTTGTTTCCTTCACTGTCCCCCTTTTGTGGCCTCTCTGTTCACTCCCCATGCATTGCCCTGTCCTTGGCTTCTCTGTCCATACCCCTCTCTGTCCACCCATCATGGTTCCTCTGTGCACCTGGTAATACCCCTCTGCATCCACGTGTACACACTTCCTTCTGTCTGCACCCCCCTTTGTCCACTTTGCTTAAAATTCTTTTTTGTTTATTCACCCCTTTGTCTCCTATTCTATGCCCCCTGTCCGTTACTGCTGGTCTGTACTCCCCTCTGCCCACCCACCCCGGACTCCCAGCATCCCCAGGGCTCACTGCCAACAAGCCGCCAGCCACGGCTGCCCGGGAGGTGCTGGCCCGGCTGCATGAGGAGGCACAGCTACTGGCTGAGCTCTCTGACCAGGCTGCTGCTGTGACATGGCTGAAGGATGGCCGTGCACTGCCTCCAGGTCCCAAGTACCAGGTGCAGGCGTCGGCCGGGCAGCGAGCACTGCTTGTGCGTGATGTGGTGCGGGACGATGCTGGGCTCTATGAGTGTGTCAGCCGTGGGAGCCGCATCGCCTACCAGCTGTCCGTGCAAGGTATGAGCTGGAGGTGGGTGGGATGGGCTCTGCTTCTCTCTGGGCCTCCACCCTGTGGAGCTGGCTGTGCACCTTCTGTCCCCACGTTCTGGGCAGTCTCTGAGGGATTCTAGTCAGCAAGAGCAGCTGTTCTCTGACCCTGTTTAGGAGGGCGGGGTGGGAGGAGAGAACGGCGGGGGAAGGGGCAGCTGACCCCATGGGAAGAATGGAGACAGGGCAGTTGGGGCAGCCTCAGCTTAGTGAGGGGAAGGACTTTCTAACTGTGGTTATTTGGGTGGACAGTGAGTTCCTATGGCTGGAAGTCAGCAAACTGAGGCTGGCCTCTAACTGGTCAAGGTCTTCCTGGTCTGGGTGAGGATCAATATCCTCTTTGGTCCTGGCATCTCCAGCCTATTAGCAGCTGTGGCTGAGAGCATGGTCAGAGCCTCTGCTGTCCCTGACCTGTCATCTGCCCCTGCAGGCCTTACACCCTTTCTGCACAAGGACACGGCAGGTGGCTGTGTGGATGCCGTGGCTGGGGGCCCAGCTCAATTTGAGTGTGAAACCTCAGAGGCCCACGTCCGTGTGCGATGGTACAAGGATGGTGCTGAGCTGGGTCGCTCCTGCCAGCACTTTTCGCAGGAGGACATAGGGACCCGGCACCGGCTGGTGGCAGCCTCAGTCACCAGGCAAGATGAAGGCACCTACTCTTGCCGTGTGGGTGAGGATTCTGTGGACTTCCGGCTCCGGGTCTCCGGTGAGTACACTCACATATGTATAGTGCTTATACTTGCATGATGGAGAACAGGTCAGGCTGCATCCAGCATAGCAGGGCTGGCTGACCTTCCAGGCTCTTTTTTTTTTTTTTTTTTTTCAGTGAATGGGGACAGTTACTTCTTTAATAGGGAAAAATTAACATTTTTTAAAAACTAATTTAAAAAAAATTGTTTATTGAATTTGTCATTATTATTATTTTAATTTGCTACAGGGCGCATACACTCATCAGAGAGAGAGAGAGAGAGAGAGAGAGAGAGGAAGTCAGAAAGCAAACTGCCAGGTCTGGGACTTGAACTGTAGTTGGTCACATGGGAGTCTAGCCCTTTAACCACCATGACACCTGCTGACCCCAAAACTAACATTTTTAGGATGGAGAGTACAAATGTGAAAAATAAGGTAATGATAAGGAAGTTCAAGAACAGTAGATATAAGCTTTTTTTTTGCTTCTTTTGTTCTAAAAAATCCAGAGATACAAATACAGATAAATAATTTTATATAAAGACTCAGCTTTAGTTATGTGTATCATTTGGGGTCTTATTTTTTAGTTTACCTAGGTTTACATTTTTTTAAGGTGAAAATGCAAGGAAAAGTTTCATGCGAAAAATGTTTGGAGGGGGACCAGAAGTTAGCATAATGGCTGTGTCGCTGGACTCCCATGTAGTCGACCGCGGTTCACGTCCCAGACCCAGTGGCTTAAAACTCACGCCAGGCGCGTGTGCATGTGTGCCCAAGATCCCGAGAGGAGAATGGAGGAGAAGGGATTGCAACATGGCCATCCCCCCTGGGGGGGTGATTTCTTGCTTTCTGTCTCTCTGTCTCTGTCTGGCGAGTGCACGTGCCCTATAGCAAAAAAAAAAAAAAAAAAAAAAAAGAAAAGAAAGAAAAAGAAAAAAGAAAAAAGGTTTGGAGGTATCATAAAAATACCTTGTAGCTTGAGGTAGATAAAAAGCAGGGATTGTGTGTGACCCATGGGGATGCTTTCTCCCTCTCCTTTTCTCTTTCTGTCTTTTTGTCCTGCTCTGGTGAGCACACATGCCCTCTGGCAAATTTTAAAAAAGAAGAAAGGAATAAGTAATGTCCTTGGATCCACATAAGACAGTGGGCGTGGTCTAGTCTCTGTTGCCCAGCTGATAGCATATCGGACTTCAGAGCTGGAAGCCACATGCTGAACATGGTTTGAATCCCCACCTGGGTGGCCTGAAAGCATGCCAGGCATGTGTGTATGCCCAGGATCCTGGTGGACTATGGGACTGGAAGAATGGGGTTGCAGAGTGAGCCCTGTGGAAGGACTTCTCTCACTGTGTCTTTCTTGTGCATGCACACTTGCTCTATTGTGAACTATTTTTTAAAAAAAGTAGTAGGCAAAGGACCTGTCTATGGAGTTTGATTTGGAGAGGTATGGAAAGAAAGGGGACACATATGGTGCAGGCAGACATATACCTTCCTACAATTCTTTCCTGACTTTGTTTAATCATTGAAGCAATTTCTTAGGATCATTAGTAAACTTAGTTTTATTCAGGATTTAGGTCAATCTTTTATCTCTGCTCCTAGTTCTTGATTGCCCATAGGGGCCTGGTCACAGTCTTAAGAATCCTTTTATTTATTTGGTGTTGGTGGGCTGCTTCAGGGCTGGCCACTTCATTAAAAAAGTGTTTTTGAAGCCCTTCTATTAAAGATGAGTGAACTGAGGCTGAGAAGAGCCACAAGGTGTTTGACATGTCCTTGGTAGGTTGAAGGTTCAATCTAGGTGGATCTAAGTCCCTGGCTTTTCTTTTTTGGAAGCATCCAGCTTTCAGGTATGTCATTTGGGAAACAGAGGACAAACCATGACAGGGCTTCACGAGGAACAGGGCTTCATGAGGAACATGGCTGCTGGGCATCTGTGAGCTGAGTCGTGTGCACCTCTAGCTTGAGGGGGCCTTATTGCCACCCCAAATTGGGATTTTTTTTTGGGCTACTGTAGGCTGGATCCAGCTTATAGACCTGAGTATAGGGAAGTTTCACAAGCAAGACATACACCTGAAAATTACACTGTGGGCTCCTAGAGGCAAACAATGGGCATTTTACACATAAAAAAATTTAAATTCTTCATCAATATGATCCTTAATAACTCTCATAGTCAAATGGCTGATTTATATACAAAGCAAACAGGTTGGTGTCTGTTCTCAGTTGTTGAGTAAACTGGGGAAACCTTTGTGAAACAATCTTCTCTTGGTTTTGGTTATAATGTCACACATGTGTCCTGAGGAAAGTGTACCCTGTGAGTGAGCAAGAGTTTAGGGGAGAGAGCAAGAAAGCATTCTAGGTCTGTCAGAGTCAGGCTACCAGGTCTTCTTGGTGATTTCTTGGAGGACGGCTCTGCCACCTGAGGGACTGGACATCACTCCCAGCTGTGCGAGGAAAGAACTAAATTTGAACACTTGGACCACAGGGGATCCCCATGGCAGCACCTACCATTGTCTGGAATCCAAAGCCTGTTAGTGAGAACTAGGACTTGGGATTCCCTGTCTCTGATGTGTATCTCTCCTTTTCTGTTCCCAGAGCCCATAGCAGTATTTGCTAAGGATCAGCCAACACACAGCAAGGTGCAGGTCATGACAGGAAACAGTGCCACGCTGAGCTGTGAGGTGGCCCAGGCCCACACGAAGGTGACGTGGTACAAGGATGGGAAGAAGCTGAGCGGGAACTCCAATGTGTGTGTGGAGGCCACAGGCTGTGGGCGGCGGCTGGTGGTGCGGCAGGCAGGCAAGGCGGATGCTGGGGAGTACAGCTGTGAGGCCGGGGGTCAGAAGGTCTCCTTCCATCTGGACATCACAGGTGAGTGCCAGAGTTGGGTAGAATAGTGGTAGGACTCGTAAGTGTCAGTATAAAACTCCAAGGGCATGTTTAGACAGCCTAAAGCATTGAGACTCTGGCATCTTTCCTCTGTGGGTCTCAGAATCTGGGTCCCCAGCACTGCCCAGCAGCTCCTAGGCTGTATTGTGTCATGAGATCAGAACGGGCCCACAGGGTAAGCAGACCTCAGTGGGTGTCCTGATGGGGACTTATCTGGAGGAAATGGGTTCAATGGACTGATGACCACAGGTGGGTCTGAGGTCTGGGGTTTGGTTTGTTTGGTGACTCCTCTCTGGGTGATAGTGACAGTGGGGAGGAGATGTCCATTGACTGGCCATCATGTCTGACTGTAGACAGAGGCTCCCCTCTGGCCACCCATCCCTCCCAAATGTGCTCTGGAGCTCTGTCAAGCTCATGCTTCATCCCTTGATAATTAACCATGTGTACATCTATCCATTCATCCTCATTTCCATTTCCTTTCCACCTTGTCCACCCTATCACTGGAAACAAGAGATGATACTTCTCAGCTGCATCTCTCGCTATTTTTCTAGATATAAAAAAAATTATTAAATTTGCTATAGATCAGGTGTGCTTGAGAGAGAGAGAAAGTGAGAAAGCAAGCCACCAGGTCTAGGACTTGAACCGCGATTGGCCATGTGGGAGTCTAGTGCCTTAACTGCTGGTCCCTCTGCTTCTCTCTTGATGGCCCTGCCTAATACGTGACTCCCTCCTCCTGATTGGCCCATACTGGCATTCAGCTCTCTCCTGATTGCCTCCTGTCTGGCCCTCACTTTCCTTATTGGTGCACACTTGGCACTCTGCTGTCTTACATTCCCACTTTAACCTAGACCAAAGAAGATGCACTTTGCTGTTTTGGTGCTTAAGGAAGGTGCATCCCTGCCAACTTTGCCTCCTGTTCTGCTGTCTGTGGCTTCTGTGTGGTGGGGAAAGTTGGGAGTGGGTGACATCCTGGGGGCCCTGGGAGACGTGAGGCAGGAAAGGGGTCAGGTCCAGTCCCCCAAGGACAGGAGAGTGACAATATCAGAAGGCAGAGTCTGACTGTAGTGACCTCACAGCACATCTGCCAGTAAACATCAGAGTGGATGTGGAAGTGCTATAATGAGAACAGGCTGTACCACAGCCCTTCACATACACAGGTTTAGAGCATACAGGTCTGGTTGTTCATGGCTGGAAACTTTGTGCATTGTGGTGTGATGTTCTGCTAATCATGGACAGTCCTGCCTTAGTCATCACTGGGCTCAAGGTGCACTCCAGGTCCTGAAATGTGGGCTGGGTCTGGTGTGGAATCTCTGACCCCGTGCCTCTTTTCCTCCTGTTTCCAGAGCCTACAGTGGTGTTTTCCAGGGAGCAGCCAGTATGCAGCAAAGTGCAGGCTGAGGTGGGGGCCAGCGCCACACTAAGCTGTGAGGTGGCCCAGGCCAAGACAGAGGTGACGTGGTACAAGGATGGGAAGAAGCTGAGCTCGAGCTCAAAAGTGCACATGGAGGCCACGGGGTGCAGGCGGCAGCTGGTGGTGCAGCAGGCAAGCAAGGCAGACACTGGAGAGTATAGCTGCCAGGCCGGGGGCCAGAAAGTCTCCTTCCACTTGGATGTCACAGGTAGGTCCTCTGGTGGTGTGACTAGGTGTGACAGTATTTGTCGTACCTTGTATTTTGGGCACACCTGTTCCTCTGTGCATGGTTTGCTCCTGGCCTAGGAGGAGTATTCTACTTTCTAACTGATGTCTGGGAAAAAAAAATCAGTATTCCTGGTACACAATGAAAATAAAAAAGCACTTTGCATTGCCATCCATAGATCCTTTTATATTTGTTCAGTGGCTTAAGTCTTTTCCTGCTCCTGGTTAAGAATTTTCATAGAATTTTGAAGTTTATTGATTTATATTCTTCATGACGGAGGGCATCCTTGACAAGGCTTTCATTTCACATTCCTCTCTGAAGCCCTGCAGTCAGCCAGGATCACAGACGTGCCTGCATGAGTGCCTGACCTGCTTAGATCTATCTAGGATGTGAACCCAGAGCCTTCCCGTATGGCCTCCATCATTGCACAATAGTAACACTGCTGTCTATGCCACCGAGGTGGTTGCACAATAGTAACACTGCTGTCTATGCCACTGAGGTGGACCTGACTTTATTATTATTATTATTATTTTTTGGAGAGGTTTTTGCTATAGGACGCGTGAGCTCGCCAGACAAACAGAGACAGACAGACAGAAAGTGAGAAATCACCCCCCCCAGGGGGGATGGCCACACCGCAATCCCTTCTCCTCCATTCTCCTCTCAGGATCTTGGGCATGCACGCACACGTGCCCGGCGTGAGTTTAAGCCACCGGGTCCAGTACTCAAACCGCAGTTGCCTATGTGGGAGCTCAGTGACATAGCCATTATGTTAACTGCTGGTCCCCTGTTTTTATTCTTAGATAGCTAGAGTTGTGTGCTCTGTTTAGGGCAGCATGCTTTCAGTTGACCACAGGGGATCCTTCTTGGTCCTTGTAGTCTCGTATTTGTATCAGTCCTGAGAAGGGTTTTGACATCTCTCCTTTCCAACCTCAGTGAGTGGGGTCAGTTTCTCCTTTCTTGCCCCTCTGGCCCAGACTTCCACCTGCAGTTTTTGCTTCCTCCAGTGTAGAAGTCAGGGGAGGTGCTGGAAGTTCTCACTTGACTAGTGCTACTCTAAGATGACCTTTTATCTGGACTTCTGGGGTTTAGAGTGACCCCTCTTGGGTGGAGTTCCTTAGTAACCACCTACTTGTTATCTAAGGGTCTATACTGGCAGTGTCCTGCTGGGATTGTGCCTTTCTTCTGCCCACCCCATTATCCTCCCTCAGTTTCTACGACTTGACAACATCTTTGCCTTCTCTGCCAAAGACTGTCCTATGGGGTCTCCTCAAACCCCTCCTATCTTGTACTTGATCTACAAATGGCCCATGGAAACACTCACACTAGTGTTGCCCCCCCAGATTTGGGGGATGCTGCTGCTTTGGAGCTGTTGGACAGTTTTGTCTTAGTTTTGAGGTTTTCTATGTGGGAAGCAGAATGGTCTCGCTATTGGCGACCAGTTCTTGGAGACTTCTGTTCAGCCCTGCTTCCTGTGGCTTTGCTTAGTATGGAGTTGGGGAAAGATGGTACAATGGTCTCTCATGAGCCAGGGTGAACAACTGATCACTGTGGCCCGTAGTGCTATGGGTACTCCATGGTTCTCCTGGAGGCACCTGTTTTGGTTAGGCTGGAGGAAGAAGCCCCCCACCTCCACCCAACCTCGGTACATTGTCATGGGTGGAATGAGACACTCTCTCCAGACAAGTCCTCTCCCCAAACACCTGTTTTGGTTAGGCTGGAGGAAGAAGCCCCCCACCTCCACCCAACCTCGGTACATTGTCATGGGTGAAATGAGACACATAGTCCTGCTCTCTCCAGACAGGTCCCCTCCCCAAAGCCCTCCTCTGTGCTTTATGTGCTGCAATTCATTGTTACCCTGCATGCAGGAAGAGGTTCAAGGTTGTGGAACATTTGCTTTATGGAGTTTTGTTCTCTGCCAACTTCTTTGAAAATGTGTCTCTCCTCTTGGTTTCCTCCTACTCTTCTTCTCTTTTCTTCTTCCTCCTTTTCCTCTTTTTCTTCTTTCTCCTCTTCTTCTTCCCCTTCTTCTCCTTCTTATGGTCTTTCTACTTTTTTTTTTTTTTTTGTAGAGGTTTTTACCTTAGGATGCATGCACTCTCTGGGAAGAGAGAGAAACAGAGTGAAAGTGAGAATCATCCCCTGGGGGGATGGCCAAGCTGCACTCCCTTCTCCTCCATTCTCCTCTTAGGATCTTTGCACCCAGCATGAGTTTCAGGCTACCAGATCTGGGACTCAAACTGCAGTCAACCGTGTGGGAGTCCATCAACGTAACCACTATGCCATCTGCTGGCCCCTCATTTTGACTTTTTATATTGCAGTATCATATCTATTTTGTCTTGGCGTCTGAGTTAAAAGTTCCAGCAATATTTGATCATACGTGGACAGTTTTCTTTATCATCATAAAAATTAAGAAAGCTCTGGTTCCAACATTTTTTAGATAACGATGTCTTGGGTGTAGTTTATGTACAGATCTTAAGCATATAGTTTTAGGAATTTTGGAAAATAAGGACACCATGTAATGCCCACATCCTCATCATGTGGGATCCAGCTATTCCCGAACAGTGTATTACCACTGTGCCACAGAATTGGCCTTGTAGTTTTTCATACAATTTGAGGGCATGTATATTTTAAGTTAGTTAATGTTTATGTATAGGACTAAAAAGAAAACTATGTGTTCTACATGATTTATTTATCCCAAGTCTGAGGATAGGCAGAGGCTTCAAGGTTAAGAATGGCTGCTTTTGAATGGGGAGGCTCTGGGAGCTTCATGGGTCTACAGGAGTGGGTTATATGGGTGCATAAAGCTATCAGAACTCTCTGAATCATGCACCAGGTCTGTGTCTATCACCGTGTGTAAATTATATCCTATGTAAGAAAAATCGTAAGCGTTTTTATTTCTTTGTTTTTAGTTTTTGGTAGAGGACATATAGGGGAGGGAGGGAGAGAAAGAGGGAGAGAGAGAGAGAGGGAGAGAGAGAGAGAGAGACACCATTCCCTGGGGGATGGCCATGCTGTAATCCTTTCTCCTGTATTTTCCTCTCAGGATTTTGGGCATGCACACACTTGCACCTCTGATGCATGTGGGTCAAGCCGCTGGGTCTGGGACTCAAACCTTTCAGTTTAGCCATGTGGGATCCAGTTACCTTAGCCATCCTGCCACCAGCTGGCTCATAAACAGTTTTTTTGATGTACAAGATTTCCTCCCCATGTACGAGAGAAACAAGTACCAAGCAGTTACAGGACAGCTCTGGCTTTCATACAAATCTGTAAAAAGTGACCAGGGGGTGGTCTGTTAGGATCGTGGTATATTTGGTTTCCTGAGAGGAGAATGTCATGAGGTTTTCAATGTGAACCCTAGAGGGTATCTACATTTCAGATGCCTCTAGGTTTTCCTGGTTCTCCTGCAGTGTTTCAGTGAGTGCCCAGGGCTCTGGGGATATCACACAGTACCAGCAACTTTTCCTTTCAAAGGAGTACTCCACCTGGGGAAGTGCCTTTTTTGGGAAGATTTGTTTGTTTGTTTTAGAAGTTGTGGAATTTTGGACTTTGGTATACTTAATACACATTACTGATGGGCTTTTGGAAATTTTTCCTGATGCTGACTTTTGCAGCTTTCAGCATGCACCCCCTTCTTGTCTTGCTCAAACCTATGTCTGGTTGGTGAGGCTATTGCTCTTGGGTCACAGAAGGCCTCTGTCCCCTGGCTGCAGTCTAAACACCCTGTGAATTTTAAACTTCTGTTTCTGTGCTCTGCGATCTCTCATGCTGTGTGTCCCTCCTTGTCTGTCTCCAGAGCCCAAGGCAGTGTTTGCCAAGGAGCAGTCAATGAGCAGTGAGGTGAAAGCCGAGGTAGGAGCCAGTGCCACATTGACCTGTGCAGTGGCCCAGGACCAGACAGAGGTGACATGGTACAAGGATGGGAAGAAGCTGACTTCAAGCTCAAAAGTGCGTGTGGAGACCACGGGATGCACGAGGCAGCTGGTGGTGCAGCAGGTGGGCAAGGCGGACGCTGGAGAGTACGTCTGCGAGGCCAGGGGTGAGAGAGTCTCCTTCCGCCTGAACGTCACAGGTCAGTTGATCAAGCAGATGTTTGACTGTCTCACAGGACCACCTGGAAGAAGTACTTCAGTGTGGGATGGGGCAGTACTTGGTCTCTTAAGGGCCTGTGCCAGCCAGTTATTTATTGCGAGTAACAAATCACGCCAGGACTTAGAGGCCTAAAAAACAACCAATTTACTTCTCAAAATTCTGCAGGGCAATAATTTTAGGTAGTAATTAGCTAGATGGCTCCAGGAGTGTCTACTGGGGCTGGGAGATCTAGCCTGATCTCATTCACGCATCTGATGTCCTAGTTGAGGTGGCTCCATTGCAAAGGGACTGACCAGGACATTTGGTCTCTCCTCGTGATTTTGGCTGGCCTCACTCTATGTCTGGGGCCTTTTTCTTTCTTCTGTGGTCACTTTCCTTGTTACGTATCTTCCCTGGGGCTGTTCTTCATGTAGGTAGCCTGGGCTTCTTTCTGTGATGGCTGGTTTTCCCTCAGAGAATAATAGAAAGTACAAGGCTTATTAACTGTTCTGAGGAGGAGTCCCAGAATGTTATTTTTCCTATGTCCTATTGCTCAAAGCCAGATATAAAATCAGCCTAGTTGCAAGAAGTAGACCCCACTGTTGGTGATGGGGTGGCACATACTGTTTTAGGAGTGTGGACATAGAGAGACCTGACTCATTGGGGGCCTTTTTAATAGCCTGTCACAAAGACACAGATTCTGTCTGATTCTCTGCCATCCAGAGCATAACACCTTTATCTTTTGGATGCTTGTTGCCTCATGGTTGCAAGATGGCTTCCACAGCTCCAGCCATCATGGTCAAGACGGGAAGAGAGCAGAAGGGGTGTATAATTTTTTTTTTCCTGTTGGGCAGCAATTTTTTTTAAAAATCAAAACTGTAATGGCTTAAAGCAACATTCATTTAGTAGCTCATGGTTCTCTAAGGCATAAATCTGAACATGATGTGACTATGTTCTCTGTTCAGTTTCTCAAAGGCTGAAGGCAAGGTACCTGCTGGCTGAGTTCTCTTGGTTCCTCTTCCAAGCTCATCCTAGTTATTGACAGAATTCAGTTCCTTGTGGTTGTGGGTTTATGGGTCTGAGGTCCTGTTTCCTTGCCACCTGTCAGGGGAATGGTGTCAGATTCTAGAGACCAACACAATCTTGGTCATATGGCTCTCTATTTCTTCAGAACAGTGGAGGAGAGTTTTCCATGGCTTTGAATCCCTTTTTCCAGGAAGAGCTTCTCTCCTTTTTAAGGCCTTACCTAATTAGGCCAGGTTCACTTATGGTAGCCTTCCTTAAATGTATTTGAGATCTTAATTCCATCTGTAGAATTCCTTCACAGCGGCACCTAGAATTAATGTTTGAGGCATTATGTTGCCCTGGCTTGGTGAGGATCTCATGGCTGTGTCCAGCTCAGGGCAGCCTGGGAGTGAGCTCTGGTTTTCTAGCTTTGTAGGGGGACATGGAGGGAGGAGGAAGAGGGCTGTGGTAGGCATGGCTAGTCTGGGTTTGCTGAGGGCTGGTGCTGGAGTTTTAGAGGACAAAGTAGGTTAAGGGAGGTAAGACGGAGTTGGCTTGGCCCAACCTGACTTTATAGCAAAGGGTCTAGCATGGGGTCTTGAAGAATGGACCAAAGAGCATTAGACAGTGGTGGAGTGGTGGGGTGGGGGGCACTCCACTTGGTTCAGAGTCATTGCCTGAGAGTGGAGTGTCCATCAGGGTCTCTGGGATGTTTTCAATGACAGCGGCTTGTTTAGCCTCGGCTTCCTTGTTTGTTAACTGGAGATCCTGAAGTCCATCTCACTGTGAGGGTTATATTTGAGATGGTGCTTGTCAAGAGCTGCCTTAATTTCTCCATGCAGGTTGTCCACTGTTGTTACTATTCCTTCAGTGGCATTACTCAAAAACTAGGCAACCCAGGCTTTCATGTAGGCTCACATGGCTCGCTTGTGCATTGGAGAAATAAGTGGATGATAGTCTTCAGTGTTGACCAGAGGGTTCTGTGTGGCTGTGCCGAGGAGTGTTGACATTCGAAGAATGTCTTAGTCCCTTTAGGCTGCTATAACAAATACTGTAAACGGGGTTTCTTATAAACCGCAGATATTTATTGCTCATAAGTCGGGAGGCTGGAAGTCTAAAATCAAAGCATGACAGTTTTGGTGTCCTGTGAGATCCTCTTTCTTGGTTCATAGATGGTATTTTCTTACTCTTCTCACATGGCAAAAGGAGCAAGGGTGGTTCCTATGTTCTCTTCTGTAAGGACACTAATTCCATACATGAGAGAACTACCTTCATGATCTAATCACCTTCTAAAGGCCCCACTTCCTAATACCATTACATTGAGAGTTAGGATTCAACATATGAATTTGAGGGTTCATAAACATTCAGACCACAGCAGTGAGAGAAAGGGTGCTGGGATTCAATGAAGGCCCGGAAGGCTCCTAGCATTTCACCCCAATGCTGGCCTTGCAGACCACTATTTTGGGCATGAGTTTTTCTTTTTTTTTTTCTTTCTTTATTTTTTTCGTAATTGACTTTTTGAAAATCAGACCACTATTTTGGGCATGAGTTTTTCTTTTATTTTTCTTTCTTTATTTTTTTGGTAATTGACTTTTTGAAAATATTTATTATGCTCATACACTATGGTTTGAATGTTTGCATCCTCTCCAGAATTTGTGTTGCAACCAATTTCAATGCAATGGTATTAAGAGGTGAAGCCTTTAAGAGATGATTAGGCCATGAGGGCTCTACCAAGTGAATAGATTAGTGCCTTACTGATGGGTTTGAGATTGCTTTTCTGTTTTGTATGAGGACACAGCATTCTTTAAATCCAGAGAATGTTAGCAACAAGGAGTTCTCTCAGAAGCAGAGGAACCTACAGCAGACTCTGAACCTGTAGGCGCCTTTTTTTTTTTTTTGAGATGTTTTTGCTATAGGGCGCGTGTGCTCCCCAGAAAGACAGAGAGAGACAGAGAGACAGAAAGAAAGAAATCACCCCCCAGGGGGGATGGCCATGCCACAATCCCTTCTCCTCCATTCTCCTCTCAGGATCTTAGGCACGCATGCACACGTGCCTGGCGTGAGTTTAAGCCAGGCATAGTAAATAAATCCATTCTTTGAAAATTAGACATCTAGACTACCCTTTGTCATCAAGGAACTCCACCTCCCAATTCATCCTTGCTCAAACCCTCTCTTGCCCTCATGGCTGGTAACATCAGAACCAGCACCCAAGGTGGATGGCCGGTGTCCCTGGTGGAATGAGAATGAATAGTTTCATCTTAATAGTTATGTGTCCTTTTTTTTTAATTTGCCAGAGGATACATGCACTTATTAGAGTGGGGATGGCAGTGAAAAACACCTCACCCTGTGGAATGGTCATGCTCCAATCCCTTTTTCATTTCTCCCTCCTTTCAGGATTTTGGGTATGCATGTGCACAAGGCTTTGTATGCACTATCAGTTCTACTTCCTGCCTCTTTTTGTTTTTGTTACTGTAAAGAGTATTTTCTTTATAAACATGCAATTATGTTTTGTTCCACCTACTTGTCTTGGTGAGGTCTTTGATAACATAGAAGTACCAGAAAACTTTAGGATTTTTTATTTCAGCATCATTTCACCACTTACTTACATTAAAAAATTGAAATCTAGATGATATAATTGAAAGTAGGCAGTGTGATGGGTCAACTTCTGAAGTTTTCTAGACTCTCTTTAAGTCTCATTGAGGTAAGCCTGTCCTCAAGCATGAGTCCTCCCACCCACTGAGTGAGCATTGGCTTCATGAGGCTGCAATCTGAAACAGTGGGGGTGAGCTTTGTTCTGTATTCACTGATGGGATCATTGGATTTTTACTTTAAATTATCACTAATGGTAGATTGTATTGGCTGATAGTTAAAAGTAATTTCCTACTATATACTCACTCTTTTAAAGTGTATAGTTCCGTGGTTTTTAGTATATTCACAAGCTTTGTGCAACCATGCCACAGTCTAATTCTGGAAAATTTTCATCAAACTTGAAAGAAACCCTATATAGATTAGCAGTTACTCTGCATTCCCCTTCCCTAGCTCCCACTTTATAATCTATCTTGTCTTTATGGATTCGTATATTTTGGACATTTTATTTAAATGGAATCATACAATAGGTGACCTTTTGTATCTAGCTTTTTTTCACTCAATATTAAGTTTTCATCTTTGTTGTAACATGTATTTGTACTTCATTTCTTTCTATGTCTGAATAATATTCTGTTATATGATAGATCGTATTTTGTTTATCCATACATCTGCCGCTGGACATTTGAGTTAATCTCACTTTTTTGCTATTGTGAAATGCTACTATAAAATTTTGTGTATAAGTTTTTGTGTAGATAGGTGTTTTTCATTCTCTTGGGTATATACCTAAGCAGTGGGATTGCTGGGTAATATAGGAATTCTAAGTTTGCCTTACTGAGGAACTATTAAACTGTTTTTCAGAGTGGCTGCACCATTTTATATGCCCATCAGCAATGTATGAATGCTCTCATTTTTTTGAATCCTCACAAAGCTCTTTTTTCATTTTTAATTTTTTTCAAATAAAGCTATGCTGGTGGATAGAAAGTATTATGTCATTGTGACTTTGATTTGCTTTTTCTTTTCTTTTTTTTTGGAGAGGTTTTTGCTATAAGGCACGTGTGCTCGCCAGAAAGACAGAGAGAGACAGAGAGATAGAAAACGAGAAATCACCCCCCAGAGGGGATGGCCATGCCACAATCCCTTCTCCTTCATGCTCGTCTTGGGATCTTGGGCAAGCATGCACACGTGCCTGGCATGAGTTTAAGTTACCGGGTCCAGTACTCGAACTGCGGTTGGCTACATGGGGGTCCAGTGACACAGCCATTACGCTAACCGCTGGTCCCTGATTTGCTTTTTCTTAATGATTATCAGCTACTTATATATTTTCTTTGGAGACGTTTCTATTCAAATTTGTTGCCTGTCTTTTAATTATGTTATTTGTCTTTTTATTGTTGAACAAGATTTCCTTAAATA